GGCCCGTGTCTCCAGAGAGAGCAATTTACGTGATCATGTTACCTGTTCACCCGGTAGGCAAATTTCGAGGACAACTGAAAATCTGGTGAGCTTGATTATCATTTGTTTTCACCTAAGAAATCGTATTTTGGACGCCAGTTGTGCAAATAAATAAATAAATAAGTCGCCGGACCCGCAAAATCTGCCCTCGCCCTGAGCGTACACATACACGTATGAATATCATGTAATCACAGTGTAGACCGTTAGCTCAGCTGCCATAAAAAGTCTTGAGCTGTTACAACGCCGGCTCTAACCAGGGAGGTCTTTTTCAAAACGGTTTTTTGCATGGTATAGCGACACGTGCATGGAACAGTGAAATATGCTTCACTTGTCCTGAGTGTCCCTCTAAACGGAAAAACTGATGAGAGATAGGTTCATGGTTTTTAGGCCGTGGTGGCAAAGTTTTGCCTTTTCGACTGACGCTTGCGTAATGTCGCAATGGTGCCCGCGGTAGAAAAGGGTACCATAATACCAGCAGGACAGTCAAAACCCATGCGAATAGGTTTTCGCCGGAAACCGAAGTCAAAGTTTGCTCTGGTTCCATGCACGTGCCCCTCCACCATGGGAAAAACCGCACCTGGAAGAAATTCCCGGTAAGCCCGTTTACCACGCATTACACAGAACCGTTCCAATCGAAGATGTTTCTCAAGCCCAAAACTGCTACAGCTCATTCTCAAATGTGCTTGGCTCTAAATTCTCACAAGCAACGAAAAGTCTCGTGAATATGCGGCGTTTCATTGATGGTCAGAATGCTCGATGTATTGAGCGAGCATCCGCCCCATGATAATCATATTCCAACAGTTTACTACGCACGGATAAGATAATGAAGAAATAAAAGCGCAACCACTCCTGTAGAAAAGAGCTTCACAAGTTTTCAACAAAAAATTAGCCAACGTCAAATCGTGAAAGCTTCCCGCAAGATACTCTGGTTGACCGAAGTATTGATTTAAGTGGAGAATAAATGTGATTCAAATGGTTAAGACTAGACTTACCTTGCTTCTGAGGCATCCGCTGCTGCATTTTCTTCTGAGTCCATATTGCGACTGTAAAAAACCAAGTTAGAGAATTCATAAGAACACGTGATTAACGCTAAGAATGAGCAATCCCTGTGTTAATTCATAGCACTTAGTGCGAGGTTTCTCATAACATATACAGATACACGAGATCTCGGAAAGATATGGAGCGACTTAGTCAAACATAGAAAATCTCCCGAACCGATCAAATCGGTCACATGGAAAGACATTGTCATCTCTCTAGGACAAAGAAAAGCATAAGCATTGCTTCTGTTTCATCACCACTGAGTTGTGCATTAGTTTCCCACCACGATAGGTATTTTCAATACACATTTTGGAAAGGAACGATCCAGAGGCATGCCGATCCCAGCCTATCCCTGGATGTCAACGCTCAAGCAGCTTGTCAGCTCTCCCACCTAGAGAGGGTTATAGCAGCGATTTCCGTGATTGGGACAATTCTCGCGATTTTTGGAAAATGCAAGAATCGCCAAAGAAATGTCCTCGACCAAACATATCTGACCCTTTCAAGGCCTATCCCCCAACCTCGACCATAGCCCTCCCATAACACTATCTTAACCTGCC